TCTCTCTCTCTCTCTCTCTCTCTGATGTTTTAGTGTTTGTACGTTATTACACATTCGTTAATGTATCCGTTTGTGCGATGTTTGAGTTTTTGTGAGTATGTGTATGTGTATGTTGGCCTACTTGTTATAGCGGATTTTGTTTTGCCTTTCTTCCTCGACGTTCTGCCTATCCCAGTTTGGATAGTTGGCGACTGCTCTGGTGTGGTTTGCTCCTTCTTTCTCTCCAAAAACAATTTTCCCTCCTACTCCTTTTCTTTGCATGTTACTCTCTAATAAAACGTCTGAAGTTTTGGCACTAAAATGACGTATTTGTATTGCAAGTGCTGAAAAGCTTTTACTTTTAATGAAACTAAATCTCACTATCTGTTATTGTTTTTGCTGTTTTTGTTCGTTTATTCTTCTTTATGGGTTTGGAAGGGGGAGGTGTGTGGTTGCGGGATTTTCGGTGCAAGCTAAAGCATATTCACTCTCGTTAAATATGTTCTAGCTCACTCATTAATTAATTTACCTAACTTTGCATGGCACTTCTGCAGACTGGCAACCGAACTGAAATTTTTGTTTAATCTTAATCTTGTAAGGGTAAAGAGTTTGCGTATAGAATCCATGTATTAAAAACCGCTTTTTGGGTAGAGACAAAAAATCACTTAAATAAATTATTTACCGTAATCTAGCCTACACATTTTTCATTGTGATTTTTAGACAACAAAAGAACCCTGCCCCCGAATTTTAGTTTATGCCGGTAGATTTTCCCTTGATTGTCTTGACATCTCCATGTGAGTCTCAAAAATACTTACTCGCCATTTTGACTGTTTTATAGGCATGCGTCAAAGTGTTGGTGATAATTGGTCAATTTTTTTTCAAATGTTAGATGTATGCTGTCTTGCCCTTTTACTATTTTTTTTACACAGAAAACGTGTCGGACCTTAGTTTGCACTTACCTTAATGAATGGGCTTACAGATTTCATTGGTCATCCAACATTTTGACCCGTATGCAAAGATTTAAGAAGATTAAACAGATCGATTTTTCTTTTATCTTGTTTCAACCGCGGTAAGACGAAATTGAACAAGTTATTTTAGGAAAACAATGGTTGAAAACAAATGTCGTAAACGTGAGATTACAAATGATATCAAAAATAGAAAATGTGGCGTGCTGTTGTAGCCTAAGTTCTATTTACATTAATAGTAATAGTAGTACGAAGCAGAAGAAGAAGAGGAAGAAGAAGAAGAAGAAAGAACAAAAAAGAACAAGAAGAAGATCAAGAAAAAGAAGAAAAAGAAGAAGAAGAAGAAGATGATGAAGAAGAAGAAGAAAAAGAACAAGAACAAGAACAAGAACAAAAACCACAACCAGAAGAACAAGAACAAGAAGAAATGACATTTATTTAGCACTCAACCCCGATTAAAGTACCCTGAGCGCTTTACAATTCAATACAACAGTAACATAATATAACGTTAATAAGTAGAACACAAGAATATTACAGCATCTTGATATCTATATCTATATATATTGGAAGTTCATAGCACTGTCTTTACAAACAGGTGTATGATATTTAAATTTTGACGGGACTGGATTTTCTGCACACAATTGAGTCTGTTTCTTTTTCTGTAAATCGTCGATGCTTTTGTCCTTTTAGTTCACAAAATAAACATTTAAAATAGCAGCACGGTTTGTACTAGAACGTACAAGAAACAATGAAGTATACGTATTTTTCCAGTGGAAGATAATTTGTTCTCTTTTTTTACCACATTTTTTTCCACAATAGCCTACTCTTTTTGACTGTGTTTGTCGTCTATGGTAGACCCCGTGCTGCGTCTTTATTGATCTCTGGAAGCCAACACAAATGAGTCGAAAATCAGATTATCAACGAAAAAGAAACCGAGAAACAAGATTAATTATTGGTGACATTATTAAAACCACACTCAGCAAGAAGATTTACCCCAGTGCGTTGTAATGGTGAGCTTCCTATTGTTTTGTATCAGCTCCAACCGAAAGGGAGATTTTAGGCGACTTATACCCCGCAACCCTAATTTTGCCTGCAGCACCACTCGTTTCCACGATTGTTATAATGTTTTTCAGTAACATTTCAGTTTGAGGCAATACACCTAATGCTGGCATTCAAGAGATATTTTTATTTAACCCCCAGCCCATTCCCCCCCCTCTCTCTCTCTCTCTCTCTCTCTCTCTCTCTCTCTCTCTCTCTCGTCTCTCTCTCTACCACGCACACACAAACACATACACACCCTCAATCAATCTATCTATCTATCTATACATACACACACCTACACACACACACACACACACACACACACACACACACACACACACACACACACACACACACACTCACACACACACACACACACACACACACACACACACACACGTGCACACACACCCATAGTAAGAGAGAGAGAGAGAGAGAGAGAGAGAGAGAGAGAGAGAGAGAGAGAGAGAGAGAGAGAGAGAGAGAGAGGGAGGGAGGGAGGGAGAGAAAATGGCGGAAGCGAGAAAGCCAGTAACAGACAGACAACAGACAGACAGACAGACAGACAAACAGAGAAATAGTGTGAGCTATAGAGAGAAAGAAGGAGAGGGGCGATAAACAAAGACAGAGGTCTGAGCATAAGGGGAAGAGGGCACATTGAGAGGCTGAAGAAAATGAGACTCGACGTCCTAGGCAATCATCAAAAGGCGTAATTGTTATGATACTGTCACATTTGGCCTGCCTCAATTCCCACTTTTGCAGGCCTAATCCTGGAGGACGCGGTGCAGTGGGAGGAGACCTACGCCCAAGCCTTCGACTTCGCCTCCACGGTGATGAATAACAATCTCCTCAATGAGCGGAGGCCAGGGAGAGACAGGACCGTACTCTTCCCCATTACCAAGAACTTTACAGATCTCAGCGACAACTACAAGCTGGGCGGGGCTAGTAAGTTCTAACGTTGTTTATTTTCTGGGTTTTGTCCCCCCAAGAGATTTTAAATTCTTTTCCCTTGTGCTTTATTTCGTTTAGATATATTTCGTTTTGTTTGCTTTCTTGATCTTTTTCTGGAAAGGGATTTAGGTGTTAGTGAAGCACTAAATTTCGGTAGAATAACGATAATGTATTGTGAGGTGTCAGGGAGATCTACGGTTAAACAAAATTACGTTAAGCTGTAGCTTTAGTTAACCGTGGGGGGGGGGGGGGGCAACAGGCTCTACTTTTCGCCATTCTTGAGTTAAAAGAAGAAGAAGATTCGCCGAAGAGTAGAAGAAATGCAGACCGACACCTTTCTCGTTATTTATTGCCGGACAAGAACAAGGCGACAGTAAGAATTACCGGACGTCGGGAAATTAAACTGGAACTGCCTGTGAAGGCTTCGGTGTCCGCAGAGGGGCACTGACAAATTTTGTTTATGTGAGGCACAACGATATTAATATTGTCATGTGATGTTACAGCGTTTTTTGATATTGTAATCACGTGTCTGTAGCTCAGTTGTTAGAACGCGAGTTTATAGAGTGAGTGACCCTTGTTCGAATTCTCAATGGAGCGTTCTTGAACGGTTGTTTCGGAGAGATTTTTCAGGTTTTCTGCATACTTGGATAGCTCTTTTCTAAAACAGAGGTTTCATTCGGAGGTCCAAACCCTTAAATAGCTGTAAAGTGTTGAAAGGGAAGATAAACCATTACCATGTATGCCAATAATAGTTTAATTCCCGATTCAGTACTATCAGTACCGGGGTCTGCTGGGAATCGGTTAGCCTGTCCAAGTGTTAAAGGGGCAAGTATTATAAATGCATCGCAATAGTCAAATTAGTGATAAGTCGAGCTAAATCTGGATTGCACGTCCCTATTTGTCAAACTTGTAGCAGAAAATCGTCTTCCATGCCGCTTTGAATGAGTAAGGAGAAGCAGCTCGAAACGAGAACGGCCGTTCGCAGCCAGGGAAAGTAAGACGGAAGCAAAAAAGGGAAAGAAAATAACTGCCAGCCGAGCCACTTTCAGTGGTGGTCTTCGTTTTCATTCTCCTTTGAAAATCGTCCTGCTTTTGTCTGATTTACGTTCCTGATTTTATGCTAATGAGTTATTGAGATTTGAGTGCACCTGCTGCCTCGATTTGTATCATGATAGAATAAATTGTGGAGATCCTTGTTTGTATTGACAGCAGAGCCCTTTTCATTTTGAATTGTGAAGGGAGTTTTCTGGCCTTTCTGGCTGCTATCGAAAATGGACGTTTATATATAGACGCCTCCAACCTCTTACATGAAAATAGTAATTGAAATGTTGCGAGCCCCTCAAATAGATACAATTTTGATTCCTGAGTAAGCAGGCTACTTCAGCCAGGTTTGTCATGGCTAGCACAAGCTATGGGGGATACAGCATCCCAATTGACAGTCGGAGAAACTAATAGAAAAGACTACCGCCCCTGGGAATCGAACTCACATTGTCTGTGTGCAACAGAGAATTGCCTAACGATTATACCACAGGTTCTTTCCTAACCTTTTAAGTGGTACAGTTTCACACACTCTTGAAGCTTAACACAGACAGAAATATTAAAAAGAATGAAAAGACATACAGCCTATCAGTGGCGCCCTGTAACCACCCACTAGTTGTTTGAGCGGTTTTCAAGGTTCTAAAAAGTATTTTGTGTGAACCTTTCGGAAATAAATATGTATACCGAAGTCTTAAAAAAGTAAAATGTTAATAAATAAGTTAAATAAATAAAGTTCTTAAAAACCAAGCCATATCGTAGCATCTACCATTCTGCACCCTTGTGTCTCCACAGTTTGCTCCATGGTCAACAAAGGCGTATTGCTTATCGTTGGCACAAGTCGCGACAGTAGCTTCAACACCATACAGTCTTACTGTCAAGCCCTGCAGGTGAGTTGGAAGTGTCAGGCTGTTGTGACTCAGCCTGTTCCTTTTTTATAATTGTTTTGCTGTTTCTTGTATGTGCACCAAAGTTGTTCTATTGGCAGTCCTTGCTCCAATTTCCGTAATTTTAGATCGTAGAGAATGAATTTGTTTATGGACTTCCCGGTTTGTTTCTTTGTAGGTTTGGATTGACCAAAGAGAAACGTAAGGACATAATGATGGTCATGTATTGCAGGGAAAGAAAGGCATGCTGACAAAAGAAACAAATGAAAGAAAAAAAAGGATCTTACACTGTCATCACCCAACACTCACCAACTACCGATTTCACAAATGCGTAGCGAACAATATTAGTAAAAGACCAACTCAATAATGGTTTCATATGACCACTTGCAGAAAAATCCACACTCTGACAGACAGAAAAACAAGTTTGGAATATGAAAACACTCATCGTGCCTGAGAACTGAGTGACTCGTACTTGCAATCAAACTATTCTTAATATAAGGTCCATTCAAACTCGGAGAAACAGATTTTAACATTTTAAGATCTAACTACTGACCCGAGCCAGCCGTACAGTAAACTGTTGTGAACAAAACTAACTTGTGTTTCGCGCGCTCATATGACCTTTTGCAGTTTCGGGCGCCGTAAAACCCCACACTAAACTAACTAAGAAACAGATGGATTTGCATTTTTCAAACAGAAAAATTGGCACGGAATGAAAAACATAATTAGGACTTTGAATTGTGCCTACTATTGCGTAACAATATCCATTTTGGGATAACTAAAAAAAAAAGAGATATTGTTTCCAGTTTGTTTTAAGTACAAAGGTTCGCCCAGAATGATTATATGTCCGTTGCAGGTGCCCTATATCTTGGCATCCCCGTCACGGCCACACCTGTTCTCGGGTTATCACTTTGATATCAGCCTGACCCCACCATACATCAGCGCCGTCATGAAAGTTTTGGCCAACATGACCTCATCCAGCAACAAAGTCTTCTACGTCTATGACAGTGATGATGGTTAGTGAAGCGTCATTTATGTGTCTGTGTGAGTTTGTCTTTTTTAGCCTTAACGGCGATCGCATTTCCTTCCCCAGGTAATTTACTTTATTGGCATACTACACTGCTTTTCTCTACCACAGATTTGTTCTACGATTTAAATTGTGAACGTCCACCTGTCATAGTAAAATGTCCGATGATGCCTGTTACGTACAGTTTCTCTACCATGTGTCTCTTGATTCTCTTCATCTTGCTTTTGCTCAGCACAAGTGTGCCTGATATGTTTGTTATTATGATTCTATTAACTTTAATTTACAATCTAATAATCAGCAATACCGTTCACCGCCTACCATTTCCTTCAGGAGATAAGGCAGCCGGGGGCTTCCGTTTTCTTACATGAACAATATCATTATGTCAGAGCCAACTTGCAAATTCTTAGAGAAAAAGGGGCATATGTCCTTATCTTTAGCAGGAGTCGTGTCAGAAGCTTCAATACAAGAATTAATTGACGTCAATTTCCCCCAACTTTCGTCTAGATAGTAGATCCTGACCTATCTGAGCACCTTCAGCACAGAGTATTACTTCCACATAATGATGAGTATCAGGAACAGGAAAAAGTAGCATCAGTATCACATCTGTATGAAGGACGTAGTTATTTATGGCATTCGACTTGCCTGCGTCGGTAGGAAAGAGTTATCAAAACGCAAACAAGAGACGTCAAACGTTTTCACTCAGATACCTTATAACATGCCAAATTTCCAGTTCTGATTATCATGCCCAATTTAGTTATATCCTTTCTTTTGATTCCATGCCTACGGGTAGGAAAGCAATGCCCGATGAAATACATCATCGAATAACAGAAATAATTGAAAAACAAGTAACAGTTAGCCAGGAAACACAACTTATGCCGAAACAATAAGTCTGTATCTATTTACGTAGACAACATTAAAATAGTATTATTTTGTGTAAAATATCCTTAATGAGAAGCAGTTTTAAAGCAAAGAACTTTTTTTCAGAAATGTATTTATTTGTTACTGCCTAAAAAACTACGGTCTTTCTGTCGGTGCCAGGCTTATGGCGTCTACAACAGCTGTACAACTACTTCCAACTTGAGGACAGCGTACCCCGAGCTCTGGACGCTTTCCGAGTCCGTGACGTAAGCAGGGCCTACTCTTTGTTACGTAGCCTTGACCTCAAGGACATGGATGAGGGGAACAAACTGATCGTGCTTGACCTCAGCTCCGAGGAGTCCTTCAAGCTAGTGCTAGAGCAGGTTGGTGGCTTGCTGGGTTTAGGTGTTTTGTTTTGCACGATTTATGAATTTCAGTACTTCTTTTTTTTTCTTTTTCTTTCTGATTTTTTCTTCTTCTTTTTTTTCTTTCATGTGTTTCTCTTTGGGAGGGTATGTAGGTTCTTAGTGCCTGCTTTTCAAATAAGGTAACGGAAGGAAGGGGTAATTTAATTGGGGTGGGGGTGTTTCTTTTCAGCAAAACTGATTCTGGAGGCCTAGTCTTATTTTAACTAAGTCTTTGCTACGGCTCAGGCGACCCTGGTTTGAGCTCCCTGTCGTGCATTTTCTTGAGCTTGATTGAGGTCCAGCAGTGTGGTGTTTAAAGAGGTGCATGACCTTTGTTACACGATACACCAAACATGATACATACTTATGCTTTGTTTGGCTCTCCTGCCATCGCGAATGATATTTCTTGATAACTCCAAGGCTGATTCCCTACCTTTTGGATTTTCAGTAACAAAATGTCACTGTCTGACAAACGTGTAATACCCTTGCTGATTAAAAGAAAGTATTTGACTCCCCCACAACCTTACAAAAATATTGTTATGGTGTTCATGCTAAAGAATCAAATTTCTGTGAATTTTATGAATAATTACTGAGATGATGAAAGAAGACCACAGAAACGGGTTGTTTCATCACCGTTCGTAAGATTATGTTCTCTAACTGTTAATGATGATTCAGAGGTAATAGATTTTACAACAGTGACTATAGAAAATATATTCAAAGCAAAGTTTCTGATATGGGAAAAGGTGATACTTTTACATTTAGACATATTATATTCAGTTTCTTAATTTTACCTCGTACTTTTTCCAGATTGTCGACGTTGGAATGAATAGAGATAATTACCATTACATCCTAGCTGGTCCGGTAAGTTTCTTTCTATCTATCCATTCATCCATCCATCCATCCATCCATCCATCCATCCATCCATCCATCCATCCATCCAT